CCCAGCCCTGGTCGAGTCTACAAATTGATTTTGTAAATTATGGTTGTGATTAAAGTCACGTGGGAGGATGAAGCATGCTATGCTTTAGGACAGGGGTGATGGTGACAGCAAGATCAGCTTGATGATTTTAAACCAGGGCAGCAGAGAATAATATGTGATGGGACGTCCATCTTTTAAAAATATAACATTCATTTTCCCATTTTGTGATGTTCCCAGTGTGAACACTGGTGCCTCTACAGCACACCAGGATCATGCACTGTAAGAATCTGTTCCACACTGATCAGTTTAGCAGTTTTAAATTGTCCCACGAGGGACTCAAAGTAGTGAATACAGAAGGTCATCAGAGCTGTGCCAGCTTTCGCAGTCATGTCTCGACCTCCTCAGGGAAACGGCCTTTAATGTTTTCAGTAATCTAGACCAGGTGATTGCAACTCATCAGCGGCTGAAAGAGTCAAATACAAGTCCACAGTTTTACTTAAAACCAGCGAGGGAAATAAAACGCAGACATGCAGAGCTCGAGTTTTGTGCGTCTTTCTTACAGAAAACACACAGCGGAGAATAAATGTGCTCCTTAAAAGTCGAACACTTGATGTCTAACGCTGAGACTCAAAGGCAGAACATCTTTGATGTGCAATTGCTCTTGTGTTGCAGTCATGTGTGGAGGAACTAAAGGTGGTCTCAGAGATGAAAAGAGATCAAGAGGAGCTGCAGCCTCTGAAGTCAGCGCCGGCTACAGCTGATGAGGAAAGAGGCTGCAGGAGGATGAATGTCTCGTTCTTCACACATCCGAATGGAGCAAACACTCCAGTGTTTGTAGAAACGATAGAAAAGTCATAAAAATTCGCTAGAATATAAACTACAGTAAGAATGCTTTGATCTTTTTATTAGTTCGTTAAGTGCTCATTAAACTAAATGCAAATTCCCTCAAAGGTGAAGAAGCAGGGCGGGGCAATGAACTCCGTTAATGTGTTATGACTAACTGACTCAGTTTTACGATACTGCATTTGGTAAACAGATTTTTGCCCTCACGCTGCAGTCAGCCTGACCTTAAATCTGCAACATGTCTTTGCAATACAAGACTCAGCTGGACGCTGGATATTGTGCGCTTCATGTGACTTTTTGTTTAATTGTGTGGGGTGAGGATGACAAAAGATTTGAAGAAACCGACACAGACTTGCAATTTTTGCAGATTTATCACAGTTAACTGGCGTATTAATACAAACAGATTACATTTAGATGCCCTTTGACCTCATTCAGTCACACTGACAGCAGACTGATGCCTGTCCAATTATTGCCGTATTAACACACCAAAGTTGCTTTGAAGGCAGCAACTTCCTGAGAGTGGCTGCAGACCTGGTCCCCATCGTTTAAGCAAAGGCAACGAGATCAGTTTATTGTGCTCGGTCGCACTTATGATGGCTCAGAGCAGAGCTGTGAAGCACAGCTTAGATATATTCCTCAAACATTGTGCCATAAATGATTCCATGTCCTAGTAAAAACACCTGCTGGCCTCACCTGGTCCGTTTGATGTGTGTGGGCGGAGCTACCTGAGACTCACCCACACACTGGTGTAATTTCGAAAATGTATAATTACAAATTGCTGTGATAAATTATCTGTTTTGCTGCACCCTGATGTTTGCCCTGTAGAACAGAGTTACATGGAAAGTCCATTTCTCCCCAGCACTCCTGGCTAAAACCCAACCCTCAGTGATGAAACACAATATTTGTCTCTGAGTGACAAACCATATGGAGTGGCTGTGGCAGAAGTCCAAAGCGGAGATGATTTGTCTGAAGAACTTTCGAGCCTCTTTCGGTGTTAGCCGGCCTTTCTTCACCAGGTAATCAAAAAGCTCCCCACCAGACACATGCTCTAGCACCAGGTATCTGCAAAAGAAGACAGAGGCCAAATACATGTGACGGGAAACCTCTGAAACCTGCAATACCAGTAAAACAAGGAACACTTAATGCTGCATGTCTACAGTGGTCCCTCACTAAATCGCTGTTTTGCGGGGTTTTTTGTGCAATTTTGCATACTTTCTATTTTCTATTTATTTTTACAGCGCGTTGTGTTCTGCGTCCTGATTGGCTGTAGACCACTGTCAATCAATCTTGTGCC